CAATCCACAAATATGAATGAGGTATCACAGAGATACACTCTGCTGTTCCTGATGCAATTGTCTGGCTGAACCACCTAAATAAAAAATTATAATTGCTGTTCTGTATCTACATCAGCCATATGAAGGAGGAGGAAGAGGAAGAGGAGGAGTGGACACAGAAAATAATTACCAAGAGCAGCTGAAATGTGGCTAATTCCTCCCATCCACACTTTGACTCCACATAACCTGTTCACTTGCCTATACCCTTAATGATATACCAACAGAACCTTCACTTAAAAGGCCAGCTGTCTGAGTTACATGGTATACAATGGATACCTAGTTACCTGTTAGCTAAGATGCTACATGAGTTTCAAACTGTGTGTTCACTACACAAATTAGCGATTTCCTCCATCATCTTCTAATTTGTTGGCCTGGCCTCACACTATCTACACCAAAGGGGCTATGCTTTTGGACCTGGTGGCTTGTAGGACTAAGAGGGACAGAAAAGAAAATATTCTATAAGTACCTCAGATGAGAAACATATATTTATCAACACAAGAGAATTCCAGTCCATTCACCAATGGAGTACGAGAGTAAACAACAGATGTTACCAAGAAGGCTGAGGTACTCAATGCCTTGTTGTGCCTTGCAAGAAAAAGTTAATTGTGACCAGATGCTTAAACAGAATTAATTTTGACAAGGGGATAAGGCCATGGGCCAGAAGTGGAAAATAATGTGCTAAAGAATAGACAAATTCCACATGTTTAAGTCAATAAGGTCCAAATAAATTCATCATAAGAAATTAAGTAACTAGTCAAAGCAAGCTCTGCCTCACTGCCTTATTATTTTCAAGAACTAGAAATGATTCTGTTTTTTCAGGCAAGATTTCAGAGGACTGGAGAAAGGGCAAACAGTAGAGCCATTTTTAAAAAGATAGGAAAAAAATAGAATGACCTGGTACAATACAGAGCAGTGAATTACAGACCTCGATCCTGGAACAAATTGTTAAACTATCATTTTGGACGCATCTAAAGGTTAACATGATAAAAAACAGCCAGCATGGATTTGCCAAGAATGATTCATTTCCAACCAATTTCATTTCCTTCTCAGGAAGTGTAACTGGTGTAATAGCTAAGGGAAAAGCAACTGATGTGATGCATCCTGACTTGGGAAAGGCTTTTGATGCAATCCTGCACAAGATTCTTACAAAAACACTAGGGAAATATGGTCTCAATGCAATTACTATGAAATGGGTGTACAATTGCTCCAAAAACTGCACTTGAACAGTACTTTTAGTAGTTTGCAAACTGGAGGGAGGAGGCAGGAAGAGCATTTCAGTAGCTTGTCAAAGACTTATTTTAATTGCACGAATAATGGAATAGTGTACCTTTTAAAAAAATGTGTGGATAGTACAGATAGAGATGGGTTGCAAGTAGGGATGTAAAAGGTTAAACGTTTAAACAATAAATATATTTGTGCCAGTAATGTGTTACCAGTTAATGTTTAGCGTGGAGCACAGTCCAGCAGGGAAGGGAAGCCATGAGGTGCCTTAGGAACAGGAAGGCAGCAGGGAGGGAGGAGTGAGGAGGAGGGGAGGGAGAGGGGCAAGGGAGGATTAGTACCCACAGCTCATCTGCTCTCTCCCTCCCAGTGCACTGGCAGCTACAGTGGGCTAGGAAAGCCCCTCACCTGCTGCTGCTGCTGCCCACAGTTTAATGTTGTGTGGTAGGGCTTGCCACCACCTCCTTGCTCCTCGGGGCCTTTGACAGGGGAGCAACTCCAAGTAGCAGCTGCGTCCGAGTGGGTCTGTGTGTGACCCCCAGCTTTCTGTACTGCTCCAGGCATGCATCTGTGGGCCCTCCTCCCCTGTAGCCAGATAGGGTAGACAAGGTGCTGGCCTGGGGCCCCACACCCCCCTGGCCAGAACTACCCATGTGCTATCAGTTAACCATTTAACCAATATAATTAGAGGATGTTAAACAGATTTTTTAAATGATATTTTCATCCCTAGTTGTAAGTACTTTGGAGGACAAGATCAGAATGTAAAATAATCTAGATAAACTGGAAAAATGGTCTGATATCATCAGGCAGAAATGCAATAAAAACAAGGGTAAAGTCCTCCACTGAGAAATGAAAAAGCAAATGCACAAATACAAAATGGGGACCAACTGGCTAGCTAGGCAGCAGCCCTACATAAGAGATCCTAGGGGTTAGAGCAGAACACAAATAAGGCAAACCTTCTTGGATGTATTACATAGGAGTATTGTACATAAAATCCAGAAGGTAAGTATTTTGCTCTGCTTGGTGCTGGTGAGGCTTTAGTGTATAACACACACTGAAATGTTTCAAAAGGGTAGTATTCCAGCCCAGAGACATGCACCACCGTTTGCTGCATCTTGTCTCTCCCTGCCATGGTTAGAATGCTTCAAATTTGCTGTAGCTATGTGCACTTTTTCTGAAGCCAGAAGGCGCTAGAGAAAGCTGCAGGGACAGAGATGTAGGGAAATAGAGGGATGGAAGGGGGGTAGTCGGGAGCATAGAGGCGAGGGCAAGGGGGTCTGTAGTGGTAATGGAGGTGCCCCGCTCTCCAGGCTTTAATTCCCTGAACACCCCCTCTTCCCCTCTCCTGGGAATGAATAGAGGAGACTTGGGGCTAGAGAGACAAGCTCCAGCAGTGACATGGGTGCAGGATAGAGGGTTGGGGGGGGCAGAGCGGCTGTACACAGGGAGTCTGCTTCAATGCCAGGAGTGCTTCCAGTATGGAGAGTACTCCCCACACCAATAGCTCCAGCAGGAGAGAAGGGGCCTATGGCAGTGGTGTGTAGAGCACCTACTGCGTTGATTCTAGCCTCAGATCCCCAGTACCTTCCCTCTTCTTCTCTCCCTCAAGCAGAGAAGTAGAGGGAATTGGGGCTAGAGCACCTGGCACTGGAAGTGGGGTCCTGGGAGTAGGGTGAATGCCTGGACAGCCAGTGGTGTGAATACCCAGCTCTCCCTTCCTCTGCTCTGATGGAAGGGAGAGTGGAGCACTGTGGGTTTTTGGATGTCCTACAGGTCCCCTAACCCCATGAACATACAATAAAAATTCTAACACTTTAAAATAGCACTTCATTTCAAGAGGTCCTAGTTTGGGGCCCTTCAGCCACTTCTGGAATATTGCACAGGGCACGTATGTTTGTCCAGATGGCCCTCTGAAACGCTTCAAAAGTATTTGAAAATTTCAACTGTTGCATCTGTCTGCACCCCTGGAATACCACATCCAGTTTTGATCACCACTCTCTAGGGAAGTGGACAAAGTGCAGATATTTCAGAGGAATGATGAGGTTTAAAAAGTATGACCAAGAAGAAGCACAGAAAGAACTGGATTTGTTTAGTTTAGAACACAACTGAGGGTAGGGGGCAGACTTAAGTTTTCCAGCATGTAAAAGGCTGTTACAAAACAACAGTGAATAACCATTTTCTGTATCCAGTTGGTTTAATTTGCTATGACAGGCTACCCAGGAAGGGGGTGGCAAGCCCATCACTGGAGGACCAGGTGATCTCTTGATGTCTCTCCAGCCCTTCCATCCTGAGGTTATTACTTGCATGGCCCTAACTATGAATACACCCTGCAAGTATGAACTAATATATACATTTTTATTTTGTGAGAGCCCCGAGGGAGAAAACTCTTATCCTCATTACACAGATGGAGAATTGAGATACACGGTAGATTAAATTACATGACCAAGGTCACAGAGGCAGTCTGCCAGAGCTAGGAATTGAACACAAGTCTCTTAAATCTCTATGCTGTAGCAGCAGCATACCCCTGCCAGGACAGTCCTAAGCACACCCTTGCCTACTCACTCCTGACATGCTGCAAGCCCAGAAATGTGCCAGTGAAACCACTACAGGGAAGATCTCTCAATCTCCAGTACGCTTCAGAGTGGACACTGGGGGCAACCTAAGGGTGGCCTGACAAACATACTTCCAGGTTTGGAGTTATCAACAGGACCAGATGGGCACAGTGTGTTCAGGACTGTCCTGGCCACAGCTTGTGCACTCAAATTCTTAAATCCCAATCCAGTGTCGTGACTCGACCCTGCTTTTCTCCTTCTCCAGTTTCCCACACCAAACAGGAACAGAACGCCTACAAGGACCACAGCAGACATCTTCCACAGACACAGAGCAACAGGGTTTAGGAGCTCAGCACACAAGACACCTTCACTTTTAAAGCGCACAGCACAGCTCTGCCCTGGCATTACTTTCAGGCCTCAGAAGACAGACCCCTCCTGCTCCCCCAATACAGTACTTCATCTCTTTGCCATGTGCTGCCCCAGGTCTCCTTGTTTTAGGAGATGCAGAGCGTTTCGAATGGAGTCGGACTGGAATCACTCAACATCATCACATAATTTGACAAAAGTCACTGAACCTCTCCTGCACAGTCTGGGGAAAGAAGCCTTGTAACATGTGGACAGGCTGAAAGAACTAGGATTAACATCAGTAAGTTAAATCACTTTGCCCAGCTCCCGGGGATGAATGTTGTTTTTCTGGAAAATTAATTCAGTCTCGAAATGGTATCAGACTCTTCTACCAACCAACATCAATCAAAGTGCAACTTCCGTTGTCCCTGTGGCTTAGAAGCATTATTGGCAGTGGACTGTAACCACAGCATGAAAAAATAAAGCTAAAATATCGTAACAATTATTTCTTATGAATTTTATTAAAACCATCCAGAGAAGCAAAAAGACTACTTGTAACAACGTAATGTCAAATGTAGGTTAAACTACGTTTCAAAATAACTTTCTTGCCTTGAAATACATGTGGGAATTTAGCCCATAGGTATTTAGCCTGGGGGGGCGGGATCTGACAACAGGCTTCAGATACCTTAAGGGTGATTACAGAGGAATCTTACAGGGGTAATTGAGGCTGGAGATTAGTTGGACCTTTCTGATTATGCGCGGGGGGGGGGGGTCTTGGGTGAAAACTTTTTAAAACTCAGGTTGAGCAGGACCCGAAATCACCCACAAGCTGGTCCTGCCTACCCGGGCTAGATGACGTCACGAGGTACTTCCAGGCCGAGCCCGGCTCGGGGTGGTGCTGAGAACACTCGCCGCTGCTCTCCTTCAGCCAATCGCTGCCGCTCGAACGACGAGGCGGAGTCACGTCACAGAGGACTCTGTGACGCGAAGGGTGCCCGCGAGCCACCTGCCTCCGCCCCCTTCGGCAGCCCCGCCCCTAGACAGTGGTACGCTCCACCCCCCCCGCCCCCGGCAGTGGTACAGCCCTCTCCCCCGCGGGAGGGGGGTAAGGAAGCCTCCAGCGGAGGGATGGAGCGGACCATCCTGCGGAGGGAGGGGGCGTCCCTCTGAGCCCCGTGATTCCTCCCGCCCCCGCGGGGCTCACCATGGTCTCGTGCCCCAGCGGGCTCAGCCCCGGCGTGGACAGACGCCGCTTGCAGCCAAGCTGCTTCCAGGCAACGCAAGCGCCGCCCCTACGAGCGTGATTGGTGCAGAGCCGCGTGGCCCGGAAGCGGAAGCGCTCGGAGGGGAAGAAGGAAAGTGACGTCGTGCGTCTCTGTTGGCCGGAAGTCACCACCCCCAGTGCTCAGCGGTAGCCGCTCGCGCTTAGCGGACCTGGGGCTGGGGAGCGGGGGGGGAGCCGCGGGCCGGGCCTCGCTACAGTCTCTTCTCCCCTTTAGCTGCGGTGCCCCCTGCGCGCAGCGGCGCCGCCTGCACACCATGACGCGCGGAGAGAAGAAAGGTGAGCGCCGCTGCCCGCCCGGGGGCCGGCTTCCTCCCGCGGTCCCCTGCTCCTGCCTCTACAGCACTGGCCCTCACCGGCGGGCCTCCATCTAGCCTCGCCCCTCCCTTCCCCCACGGACTGACCTGCTGGGCTGGGGTGCACAGGTGTATGCACTTGGCACTCAGCCCCCCAGCCCAGCCTCGCATCGATTCCAAGAGGCTCTGAGATCTACCGGTGGATCGAGATCCGCTGCGTGGTGACCACTGTGTTAGGGGTATCCTGCTGGGGAAGAGCCCATCTCCTTTGCAGTTCATTGAACACATTTTGTGGAGAATGCTCTAAATCCTGAAGGAAACGAAGTCCTTACAAAGTACTTACTTTTGTAAGTACTTATTTACTGTGAAAGTAAATTTTTCTGCTTCCACCCTTTCCTAATAGTAGTGCATATTATATACCCATAAGTCTAACTAAGGCAAGCTTATTCATTCAGGTAGGAGGTGACAAAGGCATTGACACCCAGAGAAAAGTTGGCTTTGAAAAGGACGAGTCACCTGTTTTGCATGGAGTAAAGAATGTCTGCACAGTTACTGTAGATATTATTTTACAAGATCAGGACATTTATTTTCCACTAAAGGGATTAATTCTCTACTGTGCAGCCCAAGTTCTAAAAACCTTTCTCGGTCTTTTCATTCAATAGGTAGGCTCCTGATTTTATTTTTAGATTGATCTAAATTGGGTAACACGATTAAAAAGAATGTTCTCTGATGTTCTGAAATGTCTGTCTCTGATGTGGAGTCATACAGTTAGAAATAGAAAATGTTCTTGAAGATCACTCAGTCCATCTTTTCCTGCAGTTTTGCTAGTTCTTGACCCAACATCTTGTTTTCTAGAAAGGCATGACAGTTTCTTCCTGTCTAAGATCTTTGTACACTCGAAGATCCAACACTGGGCACAAGTATTTAGTCAGACATATTCTTGTATGTTTAGATGATTTAATAAAAAATCTCCTGCCATCTTGGAAATTCCAACAACAGCACTGGAGTGTGTGGAAGAACTGACTAGAAACTGGAAGTGAAAGAAACTAGTTAATTTCCCCTTTCTGAATCCTTATTGAACCCATGCCTAGACAAGCTTGCTGCTACAAAGTGTCATCTTATAGATACAATGTACGGGACTCTTGTAATATTGTAGCAATTTCCTTTGAATTTTTGCACTTCCCAATGAGAACACAATACAATGAGATATAAATAGGGACCTGCTCTGCAATGTTGTAGATTTCACAGAAACTCTGACTTTTTTTAAGTTGGTTTTGTGGACAAACTTAACAATAAAATGCTGGCTCACCATGGGAGCCAGTGGTCTTCACTGCCTTGCAGCCCCACCCAGGAGAGAGAGGCACCAACTGGCAGGGCACCACAACAGGCAGCCAGCAGTCAAGATGGCAACTGCCTGCCCCCTTGTCCTTTTTCCCCTCCCCCCAACCCAAGGCCTCTGCCAGTCAGTGGCAAGGGGCAGGGCTGCTGGGAAATGCCAGCAAAATCAGTTATTTGTGCTGTGACCAAGCTGCGAAAATTCCTTTGTCTTGCCACACATTAATAGGTCCCTAGATATACATTATTGTTAAACTTTTTCTCTGTTTTTAGCTGACTATACCACATCACCTATCCGTGGATCTGGAGATGGCATGGAAACTGAGCAGCCACCTGAACCTGTAGAAGTAATATCTAGTGCACAGACTACAAGCCATCATATCCATCATATCCCGCACAAAAAGACAGTACCTTCACTGAGTCCTGGAGTTCTTCAGCTAGGAAAAGTAAATGCTGACAAATCAGTGGAGATTGAAGCTGTTCGAATCCTGGTTCCCAAAGCAGCTATAACTCATGTTGTCCCTACCAAAAATGCTAAGTTGGCTAAATCAGGGGGACACCATAAAGGAGAGACGTTATGTCAGTTAGATGGAGCTGAAGATGCTAAGAAAGAGCTGTTGGAGTTAAAAAATGCAATAGAAAAGCTAAAAAATTCAGAAAGGAGACTGCTACAGGATAAGGAAGGGCTCTGCAATCAGCTGCGTGTACAGACAGAGGTAAGTTTGGGAAGTGTTGGCAAGGTGATAGATTTAAGACTAGAAGGGGAACACTGATCTAGCAAGCCTTTCTCTCTATGACACAAAGTAGAAAATCTTGCTCATTAATTCTGCATCAGCCCTATTTTTTATAATCAAGCTGGAAATGGAGATTTTTCTATAAAGACTTGAAGTGATAGCGAATCCACCTTTTCCCTAAGAAAGGTGTTCCAGTGCTTAGTTAACCCTGACCTCTACCTTATTTCTAGTCTGAATTTGTCAAGCTTCAGCTTCTAATCATTGTGTCTCATAATCCACTATGTTGTGTTCTTGCTGCTCTGTAACAGCAGAGAGATTCAACACTAAAAGTATTAAAGGTATTTTTCTTGAATTCATCAAGATATCAAGGATAGGTACAAGTACAGAAAAAATTAGCCTGCTGTCTGCCCCAGCACTGTAAACTGAACTACAAAAAATAATTTTCCCCATTGTGTAAATTATTTTATAGAGTATCCCTCTGGTTTACCTAGTGCAGTATCGTTTTCTCTGATAAGGGCCAAGTGCATCAACCAGGTACTTCAGTGTAAAGTGAATGAAACCCTAAAGTGGACAATTATGAAACATGAATTGATGGCTGAAAGAATACGTATATGGTATGGGTTTATTTAAGCAAGAACATATTATTGAATATCTGTGCTCTTAATGCTTAAAGTCTTCAGCTTTCTTTTTCTAAGAACCTCATGTATATAACAACTGCAGTCTTTGAAATGTCTTGTTACCATTTCCATTCAAAAAGCCTGGTAATGCTTTAACAGTTGACTTTGTTTCCTGACTTCACAGTGGATAATCAGTGTAATTCTTTGGCGAATTGTGTACCTCCTGAGCAAACATTGTAACTGGACTCTTATCAACCCAGCCATCTTATCCCTCTCCTATCGTAGGTCAATCGAGAACTGAAGAAGCTGCTTGTTGCTTCTGTGGGAGATGATCTACAATATCACTTTGAGCGCATGGCCCGGGAGAAAAATCAGCTGATCCTAGAAAATGAAGCCCTAGGACGAAACATGTCACAGCTGTCTGAGCAATTGGAGCGGATGTCTATACAGTGTGATGTGTGGCGGAGTAAATTCCTGGCAAGCAGGTTAGTGTGGCTGTTGTGCTTCTTTGCTAAATGTGCATAGTGAAAGACCATATATTCAAATGCATATCTGCAAGAGGGCAGTTTTCACAGCTGTACAGGTGTGCCCCCCCCTGGAAATTGAACTTTACTCTGAACACTAAAATCTGAATACTTCAAAATTATCCTTTTAAACCAGGGGTGGGCAAAATCTGGCTGATGGGCCAGATCCCACCTATGGCAAACTCCCATTTCCCAGCAGCCCCTGCCTACACAGCTCCTAGCTGGTCTTCATGGGGACCCCAGGATCATGGGGCTAGGGCTACGAACTTACAAACTTCATAAATCTACTGGATACAAAACATCATGGACTAAATATAGACATTGGATTTATGGCACATTGCAACCTGCCTGCCATCTGATAACTCCAGGTAGCCTCTCTAGATTTTACCAGCTACATTCTGTCACCAGATCAGCATCCCCTCTGAGCCGCACCCCCCCCCAGCCAGTACATACAAAAGCTGTTTTGTAAATTCCCTTTGAGGATTAGAACTGGGAGATCAGAGAGGGAGTGGTCATCTTGTGAGAAGTGTGTACCCACAGCTAATTGGGTATTTTTGTCTCTGATAGATTTTTGATGTGCGTTCATTCTGGTGCACAGTTGTTGTTTGGTTTCTCCTACATATTTTCCATCAGGGCACTTAGTGCACTGGATGAGCTATTATGTTTCTGGAGGTGCAGGTGTAAGATCCAGGAGTGGTGATGGTTCTGTTGTGGGGTGTAGTTATTGCGTTATACAAAAGGATGGAGGTTTTTTTCTGCAGACTGGAAGTCAAGATGACTACTTGACTTGCTTCTAACTCTTCATGTTTGATGACATTTAACAAGTATCTTAACCTTTATGATCCTTAAAGCTTTTTTATTTGTGAAGTGCCTTATACCTAGATCACTGCAATGTGGAGGCTTCTTAACTGCTAGTCTTTTGAAATCCTACGGTAAAAAAGTGCTGAAGAAGGAAAAGTACTGGGTGGGGGTTTATGGGGGGGGGTAAAGTAGTACTTAATAGTAGGGGTGATAATTGTGGTGTCCTTACCAGTTTTTAATTCAGGCTTATTACACTTTGCCTTTCCAAACTTCCTTGGCAGTTGAAGCTGAACATGTGTTGTTTTTTTTATTTCCTGCCTTGAACAGTTCCAGCATTTTACCCCCACCGGAACTCCATTTCAGTAGCAGAACTGTTCATGGGTATCCTTCCCTGTTTTAGGTGTGGGTTGAGGTAGATCTAATTAAAAGCCTTGTTATACTGATATTGAAACCTGTAGCACAAGTTTCCTGCATTGGCTTTGTGACTCATGGGTTAGGGACTTCTGAATCTTTAAATGTTACCTTCCCTAATTAGTGTGTTTCTGCATTAGTCCTGTGCCTGTGGCAAAGGATATGAATCAGGCTTGTGGGAGCAGCCTGTAACACAGATTTGGGATGTGCTGAATATAACACACCACCTTTTGTGCCACTTTTCTTGTTACTTACTCTCCTTTGGAGGCAGCAAATTGTTCTTAGATGCATTTATTTACATGTAGCTTCCATTGCCCTTGGATATCTTCCTTTAAACTTTACAGTGGAAGTGGCTGGCTGGCTAAGACCCAATACAAAGCTTTCTTCTTGCCAAACTGCTTGTGGTGGCAGGGGCCAAAAGTGGTTATGATCGATTAGTTCAGTCTTGTTGTATTTTACTCCCTAGTGGGCACAAGTCCAGATCACACACCACCACCTGGTTATTAGTTTTAACAGAGGCGAAGGAATAAATGAGCAAGAGCTTGAATTCCATGTTTGACTTCCTTAAATCACTCCCAAGTGGTGTGTAAGTCATAGCTTCTAATGGGGCCATGTTGGGTGGGGTATCTTACACTGCACCTGTCCCTTGCTTTATCTGCTCTTCTCTAGGGCCAGCTAGCCCCAGGATTAATTTATTCCCAAATGCTAGGGTTTGTTTTTTTTTTCATTTTAATATTGTGTATCTCGTATACTCATACTGAGATTCTAAGCCTCAGAGTTCCTGTAGAATGTTTAACCTCCATATGCTATGCCTGTGAAGGGGCTTTTTCATTTTTTAACCTTGTGTTGAAAGTAGCCAATTTACGAGACATTTTTTTCTTTTGCAGAGTCATGGCCGATGAGCTAACAAATGCCAGAGCAATTCTTCAGCGTCAAACCAGAGACGCGCAAAGTGCAATTCAGGATCTGTTGAGTGAACGTGACCAGTTCCGTCAAGAAATGATTGATGCCCAGAAGTATGAAAAAATTGTTCATAATTTTTGAGCCTTTATTTGGTTTTATTTTCCTGCCCCAAGGACTGTCACTTGCACTTCCTATTACTTTAGCCTATGCCTTGATCTTTTTTAGGCCTAGAATCAGTTATTTCCAGCCCTGTTTCTAGTGTACAGCTATTAACAAAAATAGATGCAAAGACTGCACCTCACAGGTGATACTAAGAATTGAAAGAGCCATAGCAGTTGAACTTCCTTCTTGTCCACACAGGTTGATTATTTCTGAGTAATGAATGATATGTGGGACCTGAGTTTCCCAGTCCACAGCTTTACCTCCCTTCCATACCTGTTTATCATTTGTAGTCTGTCAATCAGTTGTCTTCCTGTGTTCTTTGCCCCCACCCAGAATTAAATACTAAATGGTCTTACCTATTTCCCAAAACCCAAATAGGCTGTTGCCCCACTTTTCTCTAAAATTAATTTTTTTCCTTTTAATATAGAGTCTTGTTTCTGTTCTACAGGCTCTAGGGAATAGTCTCCTTGTTCTTACATTTTGTTTAAATATATAGTATTTCATTTTGCATTTCCTTGGTCTGCATCACGGGTAGATTTTGATTTTTATAAGTCCATTATAAAACATAGCTCCTCAGTTTGAAGTGTTACACAGTGCTGCCAGCATGTACAAGTGAGGATGGTCATTAATGTAACTGTGCATTTTTTTTTCTCCTTGTACAGAGTGTTAGAGGAGCTACTGGTTTCTCTCCAGTGGGGAAGGCAGCAGACATACTATCCTAGTGCTCAGCCTCACACAACAGCAGAGCTGGCTGCTGTGAACCATAAGCTGGCCAAAGCAGTGAGTTCCCACCTTCTTGGAAATGTGGGCACTGGCAGTCCAAAAAAGACTTCCCTGCCAACAGAGTTCTGCAACACACCTGCTGAGAAAATGGCTGAAATGGTAAACCCTTATTGTAGCTCTGTAGTACTACACAGATGCAGGTGCCAGTTTTCTTCCTTGAAAGGCGAAACAACTCTTCTGAGGTCATTTCTATCTGGTGAATGACAACAAATTGTAATTTAGTTAGAGCTGAAAAGCAATTGATTACTCCTGCACCTGTCTCCTCTAAAAGACTTCTCCCCTGAGTGAGTATAGAAAAGTAGAGAAACTTAATACAGTTCCCCCTACCCAAAACAGCAGCATGTATCCGGGGACCCGCATGATCCAGGGACAACAGGGCAGACCCTACAGTGAGAGACTGCGGGACCTGAACCTATTCAGCCTCCACAAGAGAAGGCTGAGGGGGGACCTGGTGACCGTCTATAAACTCACTAGGGGGAACCAGAAGGGTTTGGGGGAGACGCTGTTTCCCCTAGCCCCCGCTGGCATAACAAGGAGTAATGGGCACAAGTTGATGGAGAGGAGGTACAGATTGGACATCCGAAAAAACTACTTCACAGTTAGGGCGGCGAGGAGCTGGAACCAACTTCCAAGGGAGGTGGTGCTGGCCCCTACCCTGGGGATCTTTAAGAAGAGGCTGGATACCTACCTGGCTGGACTCATTTGAGTCCCGTTTTTGTTTTTAGGGGGTTTTTTTGTTTTTGTTTTTCTCCCGCCCTGGCGGGGGGTCGGGCTAGAAAATCTATTGGGTCCCTTCCGACCCTAAAACTATGAAACTATGTAACCTAACACCACCAGTATAAGACATTTCTCTGCTGTCCATCACTCTCTAGAAATTAATCTGAATGGTCTTTTTCTTTTGATCCTAGGAAATCTTCTGTGGGATATTTTTTCCCCATTTCCCCTCCTCTTGACTTTGATTAGGATGGAAAAAATATAGTCTGGCCCTGAGGCTCTTTTAAAGTAACTGCCATCTAGGTACTTAACAATGCTGTTAAAGTAACTGGTACTGTATTAAGCAAGATAAGCACTGGAACAGCAAAACTGAAACAAGGCAAAAGAACCTAATAAATGGCTAGTAAAGCAGAGTTCTTATAAACCTGTAGAGGAGGAAATTTTTGCAAGAACAGCTGGTCTGAAGTAACAAACTGCAGGACTTAAGGGCAAGCATTGCTTTCCCTCCTGTTTCACAGTTGCAATCCAGAAACAACTGGGACAGCACTTACCATAAATTTAGAGAAGAGATCTGAACAAAGAACTGCTAATATAAATTTAAGACTGCTCCCCTGAGGGAGCATATAAAAGTGGAAAAGCTTAGTACAGTTTTTCTCCTTTCTCAAAAGCAAGTAGTAGTAG